AAAAACGAGTTCCAGTGTCTCTGTAGCTTGCATTGAAATTGGGCAGGGGATAGTCCTGGGAACCAGGAGGCTCTTTTTGCTGGCTCCATGTGCACATATACGAAATTTGCTGAGTTACGAGCTCTTGAAAATTGCCATTTATGCCCTGCGTTTGTCCTGCTGTGAAAAACCCTGCATGCTCTATATGTGTCTGGTAGGGCTGTCAAGCCAATAAAAAGATTAATAGCAATTAATCGTGCTGTTAAACAATAATAGAATATCATTTATTTAAATACTTTTGAATGTTTTCTACATTTTCAACTATATTGATTTCAATTACAACACAGTGTACAGTGCTCACTTTATATTTTCATTACAGATATTTGCACTGTAAAAAGACAAAAGAAATAGTATTTTTCAATTCATCTAATGCAAGTACTGTAATGCAATCTCTTTACCATGACAGTTGAACTTACATGTAAAATTTTAGAGCCTAGAAGTCTACTCAATCCTACTTCTTGTTCAGCCAATCGCACAAACAAGTTTGTTTACATTTGAAGGAGATAATGCTTCTTGTTTACAATGTCACCTGTTTTGGATTGTTACAAGCAGGACCCGTCATCAGCATGGACGCATGTCCTCTGGAATGGTGGTTGAAGCATGAAGGGGCATATGAACTTTTAGTGCATCTGGCACGTAAATACTTTGCAATGCTGGCTACAAACATGCCATGCGAACGCCTGTTCTCACTTTCAGGTGACATTGTAAATAAGCGGGCAGCAGTATCTCCCATAAATGTAAACAAACTTGTTTGTCTTAGCGATTGGCTGAACAAGAACTAGGACTGGGTGGACTTGTAGCTAAAGTTTTACATTGTTTTGTTTTTGAATGCAGTTATGTAACAAAAAAAATCTACATTTATAAGTTACAGTTTCATGATAAAGAGATTGGCACTACAGTACTTGCATGAGGTGAATTGAATTGCTTCCTGGCTCTCTGAGCTCTGGTCAAGTGAAAAAATTTCTTTTGCTTATCATTCTTACAGTACAAATATTTGTAATAAAAAATAATAATGTAAAGTGACCACTGTACACTTTGTATTCTGTGTTGTAATTGAAATCAGCGTATTTGAAAATGTAGAAAAACACACGAGTTAACGGCAATTAATCGACAGCCCTAGTGCCTCGTCATAACTCCATAATCATGCATTATCCGTGGGGATGGATGCATGCAAACCTGATTGATGAGGAAAAACCTTCTCCACATGGAGACATGCTCTTCTGTTAGATTTTGTACTGCAACAGAAAAGCGTTCATTTGGAGCTGCTGACAGATAAAGGATTCTCTCCCCTGCACTTTTGCCCTCCCCCCATGTCTGCCCCCTCATCCAGTGTCAACTTCCAACTGAGCTTAACAAAACAAGGCAGGTAATATACAGACTTTGTTTGGAAGCAGTTAGGGTTGCTACACACCTAACATGCCTAGTGTACAAACCCATAGAAGCAAGGAAACAAAAAGTTAAGCTGCCTAACAGTACATATCATCTATCCTTGCACCCACAGGTACATTATCACAATTACAATTACAGACCACACATCACAAATGTAACTGTTCATCTACAGATGCCAACCTTCCAGACTCCCTTTATCCACCCTTCAGCATACACCGCTCCTTGCTAAACTACCCTCTAAAGCATACCCAAACATCCACAATTGCTAGTATTGGAGAAAACATCTGGAAAAGGGATGTGTGCAGAAGGGGGCAAATGGGGCAGAATTAAGGCTGCAACGTGTGGCATGTGGTATTACACTAGTTGTGGTAATGGTAAGTTGTGTGCCTGTGAGTGGAGGGACAAGCTGTTCATATTAGGTCAAAAGTAAAGGTGTTTGAGCTATTTCTCCTAGTCTGGGGCTATACTTAGCATTTTCTTGCTTTTTGTGGGTAACAACTCCTTCACAGACAAAAAAAAAAATGTATATTCTGTGGGCATGGCACATGTGCTCATGTGCCACACACAGAACACTACTGGGACACTGATAATATAGATTCTGCACCAAAGAGACGTGAGCTCAAGTCTCACTTGTTCTACTGACTTGTGCCCTTCAAAACCCTTATTATTGAACAAGGCCTCCTATCCATTGAGAGTTTACACAAACTGGAGTTAGAATCTAGGTCTCTGGTATGGCAGGACCCTAGTATCAGGCTGGCCATTCAGTCACACTGTCTATAACATTTTTCCAAATCTATCTACTCAGCTAAGATGTCTGTAAAATGGGACTACTGCATATTTAACCCTCTGTTTGGAAAACATAATTTGTGGTCATGTAACTCAAGACCCATATCATAATGCATCTGCACAAGAGGGCAGAATTAATGTTGCACAGGCAGGCAACTTTAATTTTGGCACTTCCTAACTTCAGGCTATGAAATCCAGCACTCAAAATAACATTATTTTATTTTTAGGTAATTAAGTTTACATTGTGCTGTCTGTGAGAGATCCTGTCTCTAAGTGACTTCGGATCTTAGTGCTGAGTGACTGATATTATACGGACACCATTTCCTCTCAGTGACAATATTTCCCACATTTTTCTCTCCCCAAAAGCTGTAACAAGATTTGAATTGAATTATGAAAAGACTCTTGTGATTCATCTGTATAATTTTTGTTTTGGCAGGAGACACTGAGTGGAATTACTTTAATTGGAATACAGTCAAGAATAAAATGGCAAATTTTTCAGTTGTTCATGAGTTTAGTGCTATCTTATGTAAAGTGAAGGATTTCTGCAGCGTGCTGCTCAAGAACTCATAAATTTCCCATTGACTTTAATTTAAAATTAGTGTGTACCTGTTCCATGGGAGCAATTTACTTTCCAATACACCTCATCATGGGTTCCACAAATAATGGTTCTAGCAATACAATTATGCAAAATATAGAAATTGCATTTTCTTCTGAGCTGTAGCCTTTCAGTTACAGTTCAGCACAAACATAGCGTGCAGTGGGATTCCATCTCTTCTCACTTTACTGAAGGTGACTAAAATTGGCATTCACTGGAGTTCAAAGATGAGGGAAGAAATACAGTCCTGCCATGAAGCAATTTCTTATCATAGTCCATGTGGTTCTGTGCATCCCTTTAGATAACACATAACCCCTCTATTAAAGGGTGACTGTTTCAGAAAAGTGTGGGTCACAAGGATTAAAAGTTGTGTTGGCCTGAAGTCCACAACTTGTAAGACCAATGATAAAATAACACTCCTGGAGTGATGGGACTATTGACTGATGTCAGGTCCATTGTCTTGCAAACCATTAGGGCGATAAAAATGAATGCTATACAGTGCTGGACAGCTTGAAAATGTACCATTAATTTCTTAGCTTACTAGGTCAAGATATCTAACTTCAGAATAACATGTTCTGAGTATTATCTTGCCTTTTCCCAGCAACTTCAATTTTGAACTGATTTTGGTGGCTGCTATCTCAAATTGTTTAAAACCAGAACCAATTCTTTATACCATCTAAAAGTCTGGAATCCCATCAGTCAAATGGTGTAAAGCATTAATCTGTAACTCAGCGTTTGAGACTCTTGCCTTCTACTTGTTGCAGAATTTAGTCAATATGTAGTGAATAATGAAAGTGCCCTTCTTCAGTGTGGGGATTGGATGTTATGCAGTGAAGACAAGGGGTCCTCATATTGAACAATGAGGATAAAAAATAAATATTGAGCAAATGCTTTATTCACTGATCATCTTTCAGCCTTAATGATCTTTTAATGTAGTTTTTGTGTGAAATTCTTCTTCATTGATATTCATAATAATCTTTCTACATTATGCCTGGACGGTGCATGAATTTTCATAGTGAAAACAAGAAAGGCTTTTAAAACTATCTTTTGCAGAGGTACAGTGCTTACATTTCAGCTGCTCCTTTAATCTAACATTCATATTATGATAACCATTGATGGTAGACAAGACTGTATGGTATTTAGGAGATTTTAATTACATTGTATTTTATTCCTATACTTCTGAATTGATGATAAATCAGTTTTTCAGTTCAGTATCTAAACATACTAATTTAGATGGCTGACATTTAAAAATATGCCGTTCAAGTACTTTTATGTCTTGACTGAAATACGTTGTCTGGTTGTGCTTTAAAATCATATTTGCCACGAATTTGGGATAATCACATTACCCACAAGTGTTTCTCCAAACAATTGCAATAAAATTTATTTTATTTGGAATGGAATTTTGTGATGCTTTCCCCCCTTTTTCATGTATTTTAAATGGGAAAAGTCTTATAGAAATACTGCCATGGACACATAGGATGGGAGCTAGTGATATTCGTAAGTGCAGTATAAAAAGTCATTTATATATATATATATATGGAGGTCAGAGTAGATGATAATGATAGTCTCTTCTGATCTTAAAGTCTATGAGTCTATATGTTTTTTGTGACAATTTTTCATCTATTGTAACATCCCTGTAGATTTTTTACAATTAAAACTAACTCAATTTAATAAATAGAAAAATTGAGCACTGATTATCCTTCCCCTTTACTTTCAGTGCATTTTAAATTAACCAGAATGAACAAAAATGATACATTAGTCTATTGTAAGCCACCACAACATTCTGAAGAGAGGTTATAGATGCTCTGCAGCAATGCTTTATTGATTCAAAATAAACATTGATTTAACTTTCTGTTGACAAAGGGCTTGATTCTGGGAGTTTTGTGTGAGAAATGCTTGCAGAATTTGAATCACAGTCATGATGCCTATTTTTTAAAAAGTAAACACTCTATTTTGGTCCACTACTTTTGGCACAATAGTAAGATAGAGGTAAAATTTTGTGTTTTTTAATCTACTTGATATTGGATATAATTACCTGCCTTACTGTACCAGACAATCATTAATACCTGATGCTTCAAAGATAGCTTAACATTCTAATGTTGCTGCTTCCTTGTACTTAATGAACATCAAAAACTTATGAAATAAGGAATGATAATGTAAATGTTCTTATTTTCATAAATAAATTTACAGAAATGTCTTTCCTCTAATCAGTGGTCAGAGAATAAAGTTCACTAGAAGTACTTGTAAAGGGACTCTTGTGGAAGCAAGTTCTTGATTCGGTTGATGTCCTTCCTTTTGTAGGAGCACGGAAAAGAGGAGATTACTGTTATCAACCCTGCTGAGTTTCCTGATAAATCTTCAGTATCAGAATATTTGGAACCAACCGTTTTGGGGACTATCATAACACCCGATGAATATATTGGAAAAATCATAACTCTGTGTCAGGTTTGTATAGAATTTTAGTTTTGTGATTGCAGTGTTAAATCACATGTGGTGTCTAGATACCACAGTGATGGGAACCATAGGAATGTTTAGTAATAATACTCTCAATAAAATCAAGATTTAAAATGGTCAGGTATGAATGACATCACTTTTCTGAATTATAAGGTCATCTAGAGAGGTAATATCTTTAATTGGACCAACTTCTGAAGAAGAGCTCTGTGTAGCTCGAAACTTTGTCTCTCTCACCATCAGAAGTTGGTCCAAAAAAGATACTACCTCACCCACTTTGCCTCTCTAATGTCCTGTGACCAACACGGCTACAACACTGCATACAAGATCATCCAGTGAAAGATAGCTGCTCAAGCTCAACCCCGGAGAGTCTTTTTGAACAATTGCTCCAGCTCCCAATAAAAGAGAGGGGGTTTTGCTAGTTTGTTTCACTACTAAGGAAGGGAATCACCAATGGGAGATGCTGGTGGTATTAGGTACAGCATATGTAGGAGTAATTTAATGAAACATAATTTCTATCCATGGACCTGAAAAACAGTAGTTTCTCTTGCTTAACTTAGGGAGTTTTGCAGTTTCTTGTCTCTCTGACAAGTGTAGATATGGTATGCTTTACCTGACTCTGCCATGTACAGATGTGGAACAAAGCAAGATGATGTAAAGTCTAGCCATTGATTCAAATAATCCCATTCTGGTAGAAAACAGATTGTTTTAATTGATTACATCTGCAGTACACATTTTAAAAGCTTAATTCTTTACCCAAACACCTCCCCCTGTGCATTTGCAATATTTTACTTGATTTTTTTTTTTTAAAATGGGTACATTAAAAATAAATAAATGCAGTATTTTATATGGTTTTGTATATACAAACTTTGTCACAAAATGCTCTGTAGTATACAAAATTACAGTATACATAATTCAGGACAATATACTACTATGTTTGTTACATTAGTGCCCAAAGTATATATGGGATGAAGACATTGTATAGTAAAATAAATACATAAAAATAAGAGACTATTGAAAGGAGTTGGGCCCTGATCCTACAAGCCCTCCCCCTCCCTCCCCTCCGCCCTCCCCCCCCCCCCCCCCCCATGGGTAGCTCTCCTGTGTCTAACAACCTTGACTTTATTGGGGCTGCCTGTAGGTGTAAAGCCCACCCACGAAGAACTGCTTGCAAGATTAGGACATTAGGGAGCAGCAGCAGAAGCTCTTAAGATTTTCAGTGATGAGGCAAGAGGCATTAGGAAATATATGCATGGGAAGGATCCCTAGACCATTAGTCCAAAAATAGCCACTTCTTGAATTATGATGCTGTAATTCTCCATGAATTCTGGGAATCTAAACAAAACTAATTTTTTTGAAAAAAAGTACTCGAACTGTCTGATGGCTTGTTGCCAGAACCTCTCTGTGTAATAATAGCTCCATATTTGCCTGTTTGTTCTGTATTTGTGTTGTGAGATTTTTCTACTGAGGAGAGTTCATTCTTTTAAAGTGTCAAATTTATTAGACTCGCAGGGCTGTTCAGAAGGACATGATGTACATTGATGAGCACAGGGTTATGCTGAAATATATCTTCCCACTGAATGAAATTGTGGTGGATTTTTATGATGCTCTGAAATCACTCTCTTCTGGATATGCTAGGTAATTTTTTCTTTTTCAAAATACAGTTTAAGAATTTTGGGTGAGATATTCAAAGGCACAAATGGGAAGT